CGAGAGAGAGAGAGCATTTATTGTTGGTTGTTTTGTCGATTTGGAACTGTATTCATTTTATCCATCAAGCTTGGCTAAATATTTGGAAAGCCTTCTTTTTCCATGACGTTCCTTGATGATCACTGAGCTTACATTGTGGTTCTCGAACGTTTCCGGGGGATTCCCACTGAGTCCTTGGACATAATGAATTGATTTACCATACTTTGATTGGCTTCTAGTCAGTTTCGTTTTGTTTGATTTTGGTTTTAATTCTTGATTAAGCAAAATTAGCATTTTGCTTAGTGTTTCTGGGCCCAGATTCGATATATGTGTATGCTCTTTGGAGATGATTACTGCATTTTTTTTTATGGGTTCATGGACTTTAGCTAATAGCTTTTGTTGTGTTTCTGCGGCAATCTGTTTTTATTTTATTACACATTGAGTGTTTCACTTCGTAATGTAGTGATGAAAGTGGTAGATTTTCTTATGGCCTCAACTCGGCTTTGGCTGGAATCGGTGTAATCGTAAAAGATAAGGCATTTAGAAACTTGGAACCTCTTGAACTGCTGGATAAAGGCGCTGTCATTCCTGGTAGGTTACTGTAATAGTTGCTTTTATTTTTCCAACCATAAATACTTTCTTATGTGTTTTCATCTCCATCCATGTCAGGATCATTGTCTCGCCTGCCTATATATCTTAGAAACAAAGTTTCTGGGAGTGAGCCGAAACTGTCTAAAGCACAATTCAGCAAGCTTCTTAAACAGGCATGTGCTTTGTTATCTTTCATTAAGACAGACATAGTACCTCTTGAGTGTGATATTAGTCCTAATGCAAGCAGCTTCTCATTGTTTCGAACATTTCATTTTTGTATGAATTGTGTAAAACAATCAGGACATGTACCATCATAGCTTTAATGTGTCTAAGTGATCATCATACTGATAATAACGCATTGGTTGGTATTATGTGCTCACTTGTGTGTGCTCCATTTTCACCTATCTCTTTGTAGTTGCCGAGAATGGGTTTCTGTTTTGTTTTTTTTTTGTTCGGTAGCACAAATGTGAGATTAAGAGGAATGAAAGACCGCTTCATTTAGATATGCTATTACATAAGTTGTTTCTTTCCCAGCTTGTTGTCAACCAGCCACTACTTATTGGATTTTCTTATTAAAACTTTGAAATGTACTGACTGCTATCCAGGCCACCACTCATTTATCATCTGTATCAAATATTTTTGTCCATGATGGTGCAATTGGTTTGCCGAAGGTCAATGCCAAAGTTCGTGTGGTGAGCGACTGCCCAACTGCTGTGCTAAACCTTTCCAATGTCCTCTGGAAGACCTCTGCACGCGCAATTTCTCATGATTCTTGTCCGATAACAGTGTATGTTGCTACATCCATAAGGTATGAGGATGCTTGTTTAACTCTTTATTTAGGTTCTAATTAGAGGCATAGAAAAAAGGGTGAAAGCTAAGAAGTTCTGTATGGAACCATGCTGTTTATGTTCATCAAGGGTTGCTGCTCTAGGAAGAGAAGAAGGAGCAAGTGCTCTTCTACTAGTTTGATGCATAGATAAATAAAATTTGGATTTGTCGGTTGCCTTATTGTTTCTCTTCTCTTTTCAATATGCGAAATTGTTGGTCTGTGGAAGTGATATAATACGTTTAATTTTCTAACTCGATGACTCACAGATTTTCTGTTTTGAGCTGGTAAGTCACATGTTGTGATTTTCCTTTACTTATGTTGTGGGTGGAGATTTTATTCTACACAAGGTCTGGGTCTCTGGGGTTGACTTATGATTTCTTTGTACAATTTACTGCTCAATGAATCAAATGAAACCAACAAAATTCTTCCGTACCAAAACTTTAGATTATGGAGCATTTGATGTGGGGCTTGTGTCTTATTTTTCCGCTGTTCATACATGTCTTTGTTCTACACTGTGTGAATCCCATGACAAAGAAGATAGGGCACTGATTCCTTTTGATAGAAATAGCCTTTGCAAGTCTAGCTGGTCCTGTATTTCATTACACATATGAGCTCTTACAGTTTTTCGATCCGTTCCTTTTACTTTTGGCAAAAATAGTCCAGATGTTAGAGATTTTCTTAGCCTTGGAGCACAGAGTAGCAGTGACTTTATAGCTGCTGATGTTGAGCGATCCTCACTCATTTTATGTGGAAAAGCATTTGCTGACATAAACGGCACTAAAGAGGCACTAGCTGCCTTAAGCGCACCTGTCATATCAGCTCGAGGAGGCTTACTTCTCTCTGGAAGGTACCGTTTCTTGAAAATCTTGTTCTGTTCACTTGCAGTTCTTAACCTGTATACCGATATTAATCATTTAATCTGCATATACTGATCTTGATATCTCAGGCTCCTTGTTTCCAATGGTTTTGTTGTGTTATTATTTGCTCCCGAGGATGTGATATGTAGCTGTGAGGACCGATTGATTTCTCCTAAAGCCGGTGTAATCCTTTCCTCACAATGTGTCGCACCATCGTTTCGGACAGGAACTGATGACTACCCCAATCTATTAGATATTCCAGCTGCTGTTGTTCTTGCTGTTTCAGATATGTATGACTGCACCCTGGCTTTTCCGGTTCTTTGCATATACGCAGACGTATGAATTCTGTATGTATATATGCATGCATTGCCTGATGGCTGTTACTGGGGTTCTGGACTCAAGATTAGAAGTTACTATACTGCTTAGAATAATCACAGTAAAAAGAATGATAACCCTAGGTAGGTATGTATATGAGGTTGTAGATCTGTTATTTGTCGGATGGCAGTATATGTATTGAGGGGAGATTAGCGTAAAGGGCAGGCTAATAATCGCGACGGGAGAGAGAGGCTCTCACTAAGCATCCTTAAACCTTGTTCTTTCTATGTCTAAACCCTATTTTTCCTCCATTTTTATTCTAAGTTCTCTGTTTCTACTGCTCTTTTCTTATCAGATGCTTATGTCATTGTACTCATAGAACTGGTTTTGGTTTTGATGCAGTACTGGAACAAGTCCTTCTTTGTCAAGGCTCACTCCAGAAGAAACCGCTTACCACTACGTGGCTGGTTATGAAGATGGGAAATTTTCATATGCTCATTTAAAGGTCCCTTCATCGATTGATGTACTGAAACTTGCCGAAGCACTTTCCTCAAAGGTCTAGCAGTGAAGTTCTTCCTCGGCCTCCTGCTCGGCCTATTTCAATCCCTTAATTTTTTCGTCATTTATGCTACTTGAGCGAGTTGATGAATGCCGGGTTTCCTTTCGTTATGTCCTGATACAGTTGAAAGATCATCAAATCTCATCTTATCTGGTGAACACAAGGAGAGGTGGTGAGTTAAATCTTGGCTGAAGCTCCATGAAGCCTTAACAATTGTCAGTTTTTCTTCATGTGTTTTCGGGTTGATGTCTCAGGAAAGAATCTCCTAAACCTGATCGATTCTGTTCTTTCTGGGATGGATTCCTCCACATGAATCTTAAGGTACTCTCTCTCTCTCTCTCTCTCTCCTCCACTGGAACCCAAATTCATCGCCATCTGAATATGTCACAAGGACTTGTCCCAAACTTTCTCTTGCACGTTTTTTATTTGTGCCACACCTCTTGAATATGTTTTGGGTCTGTACATGTAGTATGATCGTATAAAAATTTGTTTACAAATTATTGAATTTATTTTGAGGCATCACTGTATTATTTAAGGAACATAAAGTAGAGATATGCAGAAAAACTTTAAGAAAAATAACAATTCATTAAGTTGAAGGCGATGATTTTATTTCAGAATAGATTTTCTTTAGACTGACGTACAACGAGTCCACAAGACATCTTTCTTTGCTAAATATTCGGGTTCACGAGCAATGAAGCTTGGTCTATCTGCCATGTATTTGATTAGAGTGTCGTGGCAGAGTTTTCCCTCTTGGACAAGCTCGTGGCAACAAACATCGGAGACGGTCCCGTTCTAGAAAATCTCTTCGACTATGTCCAATGTACACTTTGGAGACATTTTGGTAAGACATTCATCCCAGAGTTGTTTCGGTTCCCCTTCCTCAATAGCAAAGACGGGCACATATACATATACCGCAGCCACAACAGCCAATACCATAACGATGCTGGTGCTGAGTTTTGTCATCTTGACCGAATGTGTTTGGATTTTATTATTCAGCCTAATATGTTATGTATTTGTTTTTCTTGGTAGAGAAAGTGAAATAAGAGTGGTATTTATGTATACAACGGTACAATTAGTAACTCTCGCGGCATTTATTTTGGGGAAGTTTCTTTTGATTTTGTTTTTCTAACATTCCCATCCTATTCAATGAACTGAAGATATTTAATTTAAATAATTAGACAAGAAATATTATTCCTCTTCGGTTCATTCATATGGTGATCTTTCATCCACTCTGCGAAGCTACGACTGTTCCATTTTTTGACTGTCGCTTTCTTCTATCAAGGATTCATGTAGACTTGCAAAGTTTTTTTGATAAAAGGCATTTTGTATTAAATTGAGACATGGTACATAGTGATACTTGCTTCAGCAAGAGTCAAAATAACAAATTACAGACCAGCGCGTTAGTCACCTACGAGACGGAAAAGGGGCGATTAATCTTATCTCATAGTTGAAAACCAGAATTGGATACTTCTACTTGCCCATTCGGGTGATGCAGTCCTCAGTGCCGCTATTCTGGTACGGAAGGAACGGTCCACCTCATCAATAAGCTGTTGAGGACCCCGAAATCTCTGCGTATGCAATCTCTGGTTTCTCTCCCGCCAAAGAAGATAAGTACAAATCTGCCAAATGGAACAAGCAGTCCAACGCACAATCTTGCAACTTGGTAATGTCAGCAGTCCCTGAACTATAAGCCACGGGGGTATGAAGGGAGGAGTAGAACCCTCCCTAATGTAGCAGCGAGTACCGAATAAGAGAATGGGCACACGTAGAATATATGATCTCTAGTCTCCCCTGCAGATTGGCAAAATAAACAGCCAGTATCCGTATGCAACCCCCAAGAAATTAGTCTATCTCTAGTGGGACAACAATTTAGGTGGATAAGCCAACAAGTGAAAGCATATTTAGGTATGTGCTTTTTATGCCAAACCAAGATCGTCCAAGGCTCCGGCTGAGAATTCCCGTACAAACACTTCCAGACATCATGAGATGAGAAGTCAGGGAGTACCTTTCCACATACTTGCCAGGTTACCGCATCTTCCTCCTGAGTAAGGGTAGAATCTGCAAGATAAACCGCCAGTTGTAGTGCTTCATCAGTTCGAGGAGGCGGAATCTGCCAAATTTCGTCAAGATAAGCTTCTGCCACTGTTTCCTGCAGATGGATGCCGAGTTGTACAGGACCTCCTCTACCCAACAGATCGACTAAGGGGCCGAGCGGTGTCCACGGATCGAACCAGAAGCTAGTTCGCTGACCATTTCCAACAATTACGCGGAAAAACCCTGCTGCCCAGCCTCTTAGCTTGAGGAGACGCCTGAAAGTCCAGGATTGAGTTGACTTAATTGTGACTGACCAGAATGAGGATCTGGCGAGATATTTGCATCTAATCCAGCCAACCCAAAGGGAGCCAGCCCTGAAAAATAAACACCATATGAGCTTCAGTGCAGCAATATCATTCCAGAGGGCTAGGTTCCGAAGTCCTAGCCCTCCCTGTCCTTTTGGCAGTGTCACCGAATCCCAGGCTACTCTGGCTCCCTTGGTCGGATCAGATTTGCCCTTCCACAAGTAGGCCGAACAAAGCGAGTTAACCTGTCGAATAATAGTCTTCGGTAGGATAAAGGCGCTGCACCAAAAACCTAGGATCCCCGAAATGACTGACCTGAGTAATTGTAACCTGCCCGCAAAAGAGAGAGACTTGGCTGTCCAAGATTCAATCCGGGATCGGATCTTGGCTATTAGTGGTTGATAGTCTGTGGAGGATAGCTTTCTTGAAGACAAAGGTAGACCCAAATAACGGAATGGAAGATCTGCAGATTCAATCCCTATAATTCGCACCATACCTTCCAGCTCTTGCTGGCTGCATCCCCCAGCATAGAGGCTTGATTTGGCTTTATTGATGCTGAGTCCCGAGAGTTCAGAACTTGACTCTTACCACTGAGATTTTTGACTTACCATACCAAGGTCCGCTCTTCACTTGGTCAAATAAACAGGTCAGCAATCCGATTGCTAAAAAGCTGGATCGCGTCTTGGTTAATGCCTCCTGGCTACTCTCCTTCCCTCGGAGCCATGCTACCTTCACCCACCCCAACCCGTCAGACCATTGCCCGTGCCTTTTAACCCTTAAGCCGACCACAAAAACAAGTCCTAAACCTTTCAAAGTGTTCAATTTCATTCTGGACCACCCGACCTTCATTCCAACCATTCAATCCTCATGGCAAATGGCGGGACATCGGGCTTCTACGCTATCGGAGTTTCATCTCAAACTAAGGAAGCAAAAAATTCCTATCAAAACTCTTTGCAAAAAAAATTATTGTGGTATCCAAAAACAGGTGGCCGATTCACATAACTTGTTGTCTCTTGCGCAGGATAACGCTCTTAGGAATCCTTGTGCAGCAACCTTCACTGAAGAACACCAATGCTTCACCCGCTGGACTCACCTAAAGGAGATAGAAGAGAAATTTCTTAAACAAAGGTCGCGTATTCACTGGCTCAGGACAGGGGATCAGAACTCTCGTTTCTTCTTCAGATCTATGCTGATTAGAAATTCCAAAAACACGATTCGTCATTTGGTTTCCTCGGATGGCCAACGAATTACTGACCCTGATCGCATAGCGGGCCTAGCTGTCGACTACTTCAAGTCAATATTTGGTTGTCCCAGATCTCCACGACACCTCTCCTATCATATTGCTGCCATTGAGGGGTTTATAGGCAGAGCCCCTCCAAGTGTCTTGCAGGCGGCTGTAGGACTGCCTTAATTTCAGCTGCTGTGAAAGGAATTGAAGCCGCCTGCAAGACACTTGGAGGGGCTCTGCCTATAAACCCCTCAATGGCAGCAATATGATAGGAGAGGTGTCGTGGAGATCTGGGACAACCAAATATTGACTTGAAGTAGTCGACAGCTAGGCCCGCTATGCGATCAGGGTCAGTAATTCGTTGGCCATCCGAGGAAACCAAATGACGAATCGTGTTTTTGGAATTTCTAATCAGCATAGATCTGAAGAAGAAACGAGAGTTCTGATCCCCTGTCCTGAGCCAGTGAATACGCGACCTTTGTTTAAGAAATTTCTCTTCTATCTCCTTTAGGTGAGTCCAGCGGGTGAAGCATTGGTGTTCTTCAGTGAAGGTTGCTGCACAAGGATTCCTAAGAGCGTTATCCTGCGCAAGAGACAACAAGTTATGTGAATCGGCCACCTGTTTTTGGATACCACAATAATTGTTTTTGCAAAGAGTTTTGATAGGAATTTTTTGCTTCCTTAGTTTGAGATGAAACTCCGATAGCGTAGAAGCCCGATGTCCCGCCATTTGCCATGAGGATTGAATGGTTGGAATGAAGGTCGGGTGGTCCAGAATGAAATTGAACACTTTGAAAGGTTTAGGACTTGTTTTTGTGGTCGGCTTAAGGGTTAAAAGGCACGGGCAATGGTCTGACGGGTTGGGGTGGGTGAAGGTAGCATGGCTCCGAGGGAAGGAGAGTAGCCAGGAGGCATTAACCAAGACGCGATCCAGCTTTTTAGCAATCGGATTGCTGACCTGTTTATTTGACCAAGTGAAGAGCGGACCTTGGTATGGTAAGTCAAAAATCTCAGTGGGACCTATGCAACTCTTGCAAGTGTTCCCAAAGCTCAGCCCGTTCATAAGAAAGATTTGAAGCATATACCACCGTAATGAAGAAATGAGCAAGATTATTAGGAGCCAAAAGGAGGGTGAGAGCCTGTTTATTCTTCAAAATAACAGAAACATCAACGTCGGGGCTGATCAAAATCCATATACGACCGAAATCATCTTCCGAGTAGTTCTCAAAAAACTGCCACTGTGATCCCAACTTGTCCAAAACGCTGTATTGATTGACCTCCTGTACATGGGTTTCAAGTACAGCTCCAAAAATCAGGGAGTTTAGCTCTAATAGCTCCCTGACAGCGGCTTGTTTCCTAGGGTCGTTGAGACCCCTTATGTTCCAAAAAAACCCCGACATTGTTGGTGGTTAGTTCTCGTGCCCTCCCGCTTCATGGCGGGAGACGTTACTCTGCTGGGGACAGGCTTCAGAACCAAGGTTTGGGATAGAAGAGGTTAAGGATTGGGCTGGTTTGATTTGGTTCGGTGGTTGTTCCATATTTCCTTGGATGTCAGGAGTTTGGTTGCCCTGGGATTCGGGTCCGGGGTTTCTGGTGTATTTGGAAGATTTTTCCCCATGGGTTTGGTTTGTAGGAGAGCCTAGACTTGTTGAGGAGGAGGGTGGTGTAGGATATGAAATAGAGAGTGATTGTGCGTCCATAGCTACAGGAGGGTGCATTTTAGAATGGGCTGGCAGAGCAGTTTCAGGTGGTTTTGACTCCTCTTGGATATCCTTAGGTTCTGATGGGTGAGTTTCAGAGGTGTCCAACGGAGCAGGGACAGGTCCTTTCAGCTTCTCCTGGCTGGAGGGAGATTCTGTGGAAAGAGTCTCTGTCGTCAGCTCATTCGGTTGAGCTTCTTTGCTTCCAACAGAAAGAATGAGGGTCTCAGCCGGTGAGGGTGCTGGCTTCTTGCTCTTGCAGGACTCTTCCTTATGACCGATCTCTCCACAGAGTGGACATTTTGGTGGAACCCAATGGTATAAAACATGTACTATATCAACTGACCCATCATCAAGTTCTAATTCCACCTCTCTGGGAAGTACCTTGGTGAGATCGATATCGATCTTCACATCCACTGATTTAATACTTGTCATTGGCCTGTATGAGATTGGTGTTCCTATGGCACTAGCTATATAGCTTATGCCTTCTGGAGTCAGCAGATGCAGCGGCACATTGGTCAAGTGTGTCCACAAGGGAGCTGACCTGAGTGATGGAGGATTTCTGGCGAAGTCAGGCGACCACTCTCGCACGAACATAGCTTCTGAGCCCACATGCCACAGCTCCTGCTGA